GCTCATAGATCATTGATGTCCTCTTCCCTTCTTTTCTCGAAAAACGAATTCCGAACAAATAATATCCGAAATTTTATGAATCCTTAAGGGACCACCTAGATTCTGAATCTGACACTGTTTTCCTGAATTCAAACGATTCCGAATAAGAAAAAAAGAGAAGAACAAAGAAAATTCCTTCACCGAAACCGAGAAAAAATGGGGAGACAAAAAAGAGAGAAAGATGAAAAGAGCAAGAAATAGCCGTAACTTTTTATGGATCTTTCTTTCCAAGAGAAGTTTTTTCTGGGGCTTCCTATTTTTTGGCGATACCTCTTATCCAACAAAGTGCGAAAAAAAACATTTTTCTGAACTTCTGACCCAGAATTTTTAGATTGTAACAACATCGGTCTACCTTTTCTTTACACTTTTCTCTCTCTGGCTTTTCTTATGGNNNCCAACCCAAGTGATTTTGCCAAGAATTTAAATTTAAAAAAAAAGAATTTTGGCGGGAATTCAAAAAAAATAATATTTTGGCGGGAATTCAAAAAAAATAATATTTTGGCGGGGATTCAAAAAAAGTTTTGGCAAGAATTTGAAATACCATAAAATATGGATACACTTCCAGTATTCTACAACTTTCTACAACTTTCTGGAACATTTTTGAATTTTTCAGGACATTCTAGGACTATCTAAAATATCTCTTCTATGCTCATCTTATTTGTATTCTTGCTAATAATGTTTTTGAGTATCATTGTCCTATAAGCATTTCTGTTTTTCTGTTGCTGAAATTCAGTTGTTTCACTAATAAAAACAAATACAAACTTGATTCTCCAATCACCCCTCAACCTTTAAAAATTTCCGCTGGTATTATCTAGGTCAACTATGCTGGTCCAACATTCATAGATGCCCTGCACTCATCTACATCACTATGAATCATACGATTCGACGGGAAATTCAAAAATTCATTTTCCGGGTTACGGTAGTTTCAATTTTTCATTAATTGTCTTCGTTAATTATATAAAATTTTCACCCAAATTTTTCCTTTTGCTTCTTTTGTTGCCTCCTCCACGTCATCCACATAATTCCGAAATCTGTTGGCTGGAATTTTTAGATGAATTAAAGCAAAATTAAATGTTTTAAAAAATTTATAAATCCAAAAAATAGAATGTCTAATTCAAAAGATGATCAAAATAAGGAGAAAAGTGTGATGAATTGTGAGTTCCATTTTAATTAAATATTGAAAAATAAATAAAAATAAAAATAATTTTTGAAAATTGTGAAACTGAAAAAAAAATCTGGAAATTCTTAAATCCTAATTTCAAAAATTGAAAAAAAAACAACTTTTAAAACATTTTCAGCCAACCGTAGTCCCCCAAGAGAAGCCTCCAAACTACTATCTCTGGATGTGACTCAAGAAATTTCTGGACCTGAAAATAGTAGTTCTCCAGATTTCAAAATCGATAAAATCGATAAAAATGAAAATGTCCATCACCGGAATACGATTGTGTTGTCCGGATACTCATCGAGAAGAGTCAAATATAAAAGTGAGTAATATTTTTTTTGGAATTTTCAAAAAAGGGTAATTTTCAGAAAATGAGCCCTCCGGCGGAGCAGTTGATATCGATGCAGATTTGGTGAGAAACGATAGGACATTGAGAGATGAGGATTGGTTTTTGGAGAAAATTGAAAAGTGCAAGTCAGTTTGTTTTCAGATCCGGCGGGAATTTGAATTTTTCAACTTTTAGAGCCAAAAAACTGCAACGCATCTGTGTGTGTCCATTGCCACGCTGCTACCGTATCATCGACGCAATCGATGGATTTAAAGGGACATGGCAAAGAATCAAACGATTCTGTTTTATTACTTGTTGTCCGCCGTGTTGTTGTATCATACAGAGGGTTGGTTTGGATCCAGTTTTCTAGGATGTCTGTAAGAGATAACAAAAAGTGGTCAACTGATAAAATGTTTATCATAATATCAGTAACATTTTATCAGTTCACCACTTTTTGATACCACTAACAGGAACCAAAATAAATTAGGTCAAACCAGGCGCGCTGGCTCAACAACGCGATCGGCGCTAGACGACCACTGCTCCAACTTTGATTCAATTTATCTTGTTTTCTATTAAAGATATCAAAAAATTGTTAACTAACGAAATGTTTGTCATAAAATTTTGTATATTTTGTTAGTTGACAACTTTTTTGTACCTTTCATAAGAAGCGAGATAAGCTGGGTCAAAGTTGGCGCGCTGGCGTGGCTTACATGGTGGGCGCAAGCCCACCGATACTCCAACTTTGATCCAATTTTTCTTGTTTTCTCTTAGAGATATTGAAATGTGGTTATTTACTAAAATTTGGCATGAAATTTTGTGCAATTTGTTCGTTGATCAGTTTTTGATACCTTTTATAGGAACCAAGATAAGCTGGGTCAAAGTAGGCACACTGTGTCGCAAGCGACCGAGCTACTCAGTCGGCGCTAGCCGGCCAATACTCTTAAAATTGTTACAAATTGAAACCAATTTGCAGTCCGCCTTCTGGCCACCTCGTCGTGAATACTACTTCTTCATCCCTCCACCAAACGACGTCTTCATTGAAGTCAATGAAGAATCAGAAGCGATTCTGATGACGGCACAAAAAAAGAAGTTGAAAAAGATGAAGCGAGCGAAAAAGTGTGTACCCGGCCAAATGTATCGTTTTGGTTTGAGTCATCCGTGTGCAGACGACGTGAAGTATGTGAATGCGTTTACGGTGAAGACTGCGAAGAAGAATGTAAGTCAGACTGCAAATTCGGCCGGCTAGTGTCGACCTAATTTATCTCGATTTCTGTGAGAGGTATCAAGAAGTAATTAACAAACAAAATGTGTAAAATGTTGTAACAAAAATTTAGTTAGTTGACCACTTTTAGATACCTTTCGCAGGAATCAAGATAAATTAGGTAAAAGTTAAAGTATGGTTGTCTAGCGCCGACAGCGTCCCAATTTATCTCGGCTCCCGTGAGAGGTATAAAAAAGTAATCAATTAACAAAATGTGGAAAATATTGTAACAAACATTTTATCAGTTGACCACTTTTTTATATCTCTCACGGAAAACTGGAAAAATCGGGTCAAAGTTAAAGGGTCCACCAACTACAAACTAACCCTCTGACCCCATTTATCTCGATTGCTGAAAGAGTTATCAAAAAGTGATTAACTGATATAGTGTATAAAATTTTATGAACTTTTTTTCAGACTCTTGGATGTGTCTACATTCCGTGTCCAGACAACCGTCCACCTCGATTCACCCTACTGTACTCCCACCCAAACGGATCTGACCTATCGGATCATCTCGTCGGCGTACCATCACTAATCGATATCGCCCGATTCTATCGATGTGAAGTTTATAGTTACGATTATTCGGGTTACGGTATCAGTGGAGGTTTCGCGTCCGAAGCCAACTTGTATGCTGATATACGAGCGGTTTATGAGGTGAGATCGGGAAGTGCGCTATATTGGGAAATGGCATTAAAGAATTTGAACTCAAAAATATAGATTTGAAAAGTAAAAACGGAGCTTCGAAATTCAATTTGATTTGAACCAAAAATCAAAATTTGAGAAAAGTTGAGAAGTTTCAACATTTTCTAAACTCAAAAGCGTATAACTCCCTTCAAAATTAACATTTTCAAATGTTCTGAACTTTAAAATGTAGATATTGAATCGAGCCACAAGAATGTATAAAAACTGGGTTATTTTTCTTTTTCGAAAATCTTGAGTTTGACGTCATCAGGAGATATTCCGGCTCCGCGTCACTTCGAAACCGCGACACTTCGAAACCGGTCACTTCGATACCAGTCATTACCAAAAAAACCCGGTCATGTAAAAATAAAATTGAAAATTAGAAATTTTAAGTCTTAAATTAAAGAAAAAATATCGCAGCGTGTAAATTTCGCAGTTTCGAAATCACTGGTTTCTAAGTGTCGCGATTTTAAAACGACCGGTTTGGAAATAACTGGTTTCGAAGTGTCACGCAGTTTCGAAATGGCAGGTTTCGAAACGTCGCGGTTTCGAAGGGACGCGGACCCGATATTCCCTTGTTACACGTATAGTTTACACCACAGGAACAGGCGGCGGTAAGAAAGAGGGAGGAAAAGCTGCCATTTGTATACGCCGTCCACTCCACCTTCATACTGTTGTGTCGTGGTGTAGTGGCTAGCGCGTTACAGTTTTGCCCAGTTGGTCGCGGGTTCGAACCCTCATGGCGGCAATTTCTATTGCTTTTTTTTAAAAGATGTTTGCAGCACATTACAATTGAAAAACACGTGGATCCGTCTCGTCTGATCCTCCTCGGATACTCAATTGGCTCCGCCGCCACCGTCGAACTCCTCCGGCACCATCAAAACGAAACAAATACAAAAAAAGCGGCAGGCGTGATTCTCCAGGCTCCGCCCACTTCGATCTTACGGGTAATTGGAGGTATGGTGGGACGAAAAAAGCATCTAAACAAACCGACATGTTGTATGGATCGATTTGTGACAATCGATAAAATCCCTGAAGTGGAAATTCCGATTTTGGTAATTCATGGAAAAGAGGACAAAACTGTGCCGATTGAGCACGGAGAGCTGATTTGTCAGAAAGCGGTGACTACGGTAGGGGTTTGGAGGGAAATTTGAATTTTTGACTCCGCCCACTTTTGCAGGTCCCCCCAGAATGGGTTCCCGAAGCGGCGCACGACAATATTGAGAACTGTCGAGAGGTTTGGAAACGTATTAGGAGATTTGTGAAAGTGTAGGCTCCGCCCTCTTTTTTTTGAAAATGTCCATCTTTTTGAATTTTTACAGAGAGATCAAGATGAAGTGAGATTTGATGGACCAAAATATTTTGGGGACTATTTTTTTGTGTTAAAAATTTCCAAATAAATTAGTAAACTCGCTCCAATGATAAATTTTCGAAATTTCGAATATACAATCAAAATGAGTAGAAGGATATGTACAAAAAAAATAATATGACAAGGGAGGGGAAAATGGAAAAATCACAAGAAATTGATGAGAAATTTGAGGGAAAATCATCAAAAATCGAAATTTTGAGCAGAAAAAAAGGATTTTTTACTTTAAAATCCTGAAAATTTTAGATTTTTCGAAAATTTGTGAAAATTTCAGATTTTTTTTGAAATTTTTTGCGAAAATTTTAGATTTTCAGAATTTTTTGCCAAATTTCAGATTTTTAACGAAAATTTTCTTAAGATTTCCAATTTTTTCCGGAAAATTTGCAAATCAGATTTTCCGAATTTTTTTGAAATTTCCCTAAAAATTTCAACTTTTTGCCAAATTCCGGATTTTTCGTAAATTTTCAGATTTTTAAAGAAAATTTTCCTAAGATTTCCAATTTTTCCGGAAAATTTGCAATTCAGATTATCCGTAAATTTTCAGCTTTTTGAAGAAAATTTTACTAACAATTTTAACTTTTTTCAGATTTTTGAACTTTCCCGAAATTTCAGATTTTTTGTGAGAAAATGAGTAGAAGGACATGTACAAAGTGAAAAGACAAGAGTGGAAAAAGTGGAGAAATCACAAGAAATCGATGAGATATTCGAGGAAAATCTGGAAAAAAATTATCAAATATCGATTTTTTTTAGTAAAAAATCATAATTTTGAGACAAAATTAGTAGGAAATTGACAGAATAACATGAAAATTGGTGAAAAAATGGAAAAATCACAGGAAATCGATAAGAAATACAAAAATTGGTGGAAAAATCAAATTTTTCAAAATTCCAAAAAAAATCAATAAATCGATAATCAACACATGATTGGCTCTTCGAATGGATTGATTCTGGGTCCTCCCCATCGTCCGGTACCATATGGATACTGTTGCTCGTGCCCTTCCTCGTACCAATGCCAATTTTTGCGTTCTCTCGACGAATGCAATTGAAATTCTGGTGGCAACGAGGCGTTGGTGGGGAATCCCGATTGATCGTAGTCACTGTAGTCGTCGTCGGAGTTGCATTTTCGGTAGCAGCTGGAAATTTTGAATTTTTTGAGTTTTTGAAAAATTTCAACTTTTTGCCAAATTCCGGATTTTTAGTAAATTTTGTAAATTTTCAGATTTTTAAAGAAAATTTTCGTAAGATTTCCAATTTTTCCGGAAAATTTGCAATTCAGATTATCCGTAAATTTTCAGATTTTTAAAGAAAAGTTTACTAACAATTTTAACTTTTTGCCAAATTTCAGATTTTTGAACTTTCCCGAAATTTCTTTTTGGAACTTTTTAGGTCGAAAATTGAATCTAGAAATGGAAATTTAGCCATTTTTTCCGAGAAAAAATGCCTTTTTTGAATCTGAAATTCCCAACTCACCTATCGCAACACATGGTGGCAAAAAAGCTGAAAAAGAAGAAGACGCCAGCGTAGACGTACTCGGTTCCTCGGCCCAAAGCTAGGCAGGCTGAAAATGGAAAATCAATAGAAAAAACACCAGAATTTCAGAGAAAAATATCGATTTTTTGATTTTTCCAAAAATTTTGGGAAATTTTCGCTGAAATTTGAAGCCTGAATTTATCGATTTTTTGAGTTTTTCAGAGAAAATCATCGATTTTATACATTTGTCTCACTAGAATTTTTCAGCCACATTTTTCGAAAATAAGCGAAATTTTCAGATTTTGCGAGTTACAAAGAAACTTTTTACGTATTCCGAAAAATCTGAAACTTTCAAAGAATGTCGGATTTTTCGAAATTTTAAACAAAATCACGAAATTTTCAAACAATTGGAAAAATCAGAAATTTCCAAAAAAATCTAATAGTTTGATTTTAAACAGTTGCAAGCGGTCCGGCTGATAACTTGTCTCTAAAACGATATAATCAGACAGTTTTAATAACAAATGATAGAGCTCGACAGCGCCCATCACGTCTATATCATTAGAGCCGGATTCCGGTCCGATAACATGTCGAAAAATGTGTTTGAATGACAAAAAATATGATTTGTGTCAAATTGGTCGAAAATTGTCATTCAAACACATTTGTCGACATGTTATCGAACCGGAATCCAGCTCAAATGATATAGGCATGATGG